TCTAGTGCAAAGCTTCGAGATGTTTCTATAGACTAAAAAAACCCATTATAAATTGCACTACCTTATGTGATGAACCAACTTGTTCAAAAAAAATAAATTTCATATAAACTCCAACTTGCCGTTATCTTCACTAAATATACTTTTAACTTACTAATAGATGTTTAAACCTAGTGAGGTCGAGTTCGAAGTAATACTTTGTAGTGAATACGTGATTATATTTCAGTTGAGTAGATTTAAATTTAAAATTTTTTGTTAATTGTCCGCTATCTCTCCAAATTTGTTAAAATTTCTTGAAATGCAGTAGCATTGCTTTGCACAGCTTTGGATAGTCTTCCTCTTGGGCATTTATGGGCTATTGTTGAGTTCTGAGAGTTGTGACCACTTTTGGAGAAATTCCTACTCTGATATTCTCTATACCCCTACGGATGGTGCTTCATTGCCTTAAAGCATACCACTGGATCTTCAGCACTTAACATCTCACTTTAAAGAGTTATGCTGCGGTATTACACCACTCATGCTCCTTTATGTCCTTCTTGTCGATTGGGGAGTCTTAAGTGTATGAAAGATGGAATTATGTGCTCTGATAAATTATAAATGCTTCCCACAATGAATTCGGGAAATATATATATACCGATATTTGATCCCTAGGCTTAATAAGAAATTTTTTAACTAAAATAGAATAACCAATAATAATTAAGATAAATGAAGATAATTATTTGCATATAACAATTCAAAGAAACACTCTCACGGGATTTATCATTGATTTCATCCGGCCACTCGAGGCAACAAAGCTATCCAGATAGAAAGGTTAAATTATGGCTTATGAGGGTAGTAAACGTTACAATTTTACTAGACATTTTGACATTATTTCTTATATAATTTAATAAATAGATTGAGGTGTTTTAATAATATTTTGAAAGCATCGACTGTTCTGTTTACTCCTAGTTTTTACTAATTGAAAATATTTTAGCCCATTTTTATCTAGGTTCTCATAATTTGCATTTTAGATACAGCAATCCGATACACGTAATAAAATATCGTTAAGTTTTATTTCCGTGGTGACTAAATCACATGTTTTGCTGCGAACAAAACTGTAAAAATTCAGCGTAAGATGAAGTGGGTATTAATTACGTCAATCGTCTAACCAAACAAGTTTGCAAGATATTTGTGTTTCTGCTTTGTAAGGGAATAAATTTTGCCTTATGCGGGGACAGATTAATCGAAACGTGCTTCTGCGATATAGCCCTGAAAGGAAGAAATCGATTAGTTTACTTGAAGCTTGTGATGAAGTCGGGATATAAGCAAACTTCCAATTTTCCACTTTTGTTATATACAAACTCTTTCAACCCTGATTTTAATTAATCCCCCCCCCCCCCCCCACCTGAGCTGATCAACCGATTGGATGTCTTCTTAGACCTAGGCTCTGTTAAGAAGCATTACCTAAGAAATTTTAAGCATGATCTGATGCTTTAGCGTAGCCAAGTTAAAAGAGGTCCTGTGCCATACTGAAAGTCGTATTAATCGTTTGCGCGCGGTTACGTGAAGACTAGCAAACATTATGGTTTAACAGAGTTGCATTCGTGCTTGTTTTTTGACTATTGTGAATACAATCCAACAAAGATAGTTAACGGGAAAGTTATTTAGGATGTAAATCGTTTTTAACGTTAAATGGAAAATTTATCACGAAACATCCACAGACAGTTGTCCCTGCTAAAAATTATGTCCAGAAAATGCGTGCTAAATTTAGTTCAGTCGCTAATGCCAAACGTACCCAGGTACATACAATTTGTTCAATTAACCGATATTCAGTTTACAAAAAGCGCAAAAATACAATAATTTATCGGGATTCACGCTAAATAAATTGACAAAACTTCTCACTCCGGAAATTCTTATTTATTAATATTATGTAAAGATAGATTAGAAATGTGCCTTTCAATATTTGAGCAGAACATCTTTTATTTTGGTCACCAGGTATTACAACAGTTTGATCATAAAATGGTTCCTTGGTGCTCTAACGATTTTAAATTGCACAAATATAATGTCAAGAATGTTTACTTACAAATGGTTATGGGTCACCGATCTTGTTTAGAGCTTATTATCTACCTACATAGGTTTTATATTTATAGAAGGCTAGGTGTTGGAAATAATTTATTGAAATTGACCAGCTCCGCCCAACTAGAACTTCAGAGCTTGTCTTCATTTGTGGTATGAAAAAATAACCATGGCAGCTAACAATCCACTTCATTCATTTATAACATTAGAAGCAAACGTTCTCACTTCTTCGTATTGGACTTTCCAAAGTTAACTCAAATTTTTTCCTTCCGTTAGGATATTTAGATAAAGTATGTACTTTTTTCAAACTAACGGTAATTTCAATTAATAAATATCATCACTTCCTCAACTGTCATTTGAACTTTATTATCACCACTATGAAGCCAGAATTGCTTCTCAATTAATAGACTTAGGACTCTTACTGAAAGTCTTATTAAGCCGATTATAGGAGCTATAATAAAAACACCAAGGAGCATTATGAGATCCATAACGGGACCAATTATTATTTAAATTCTTACTCAGTCGATATCTTGATCAATTTTATCATACAAATACGAATTTATACCAAACAGTATAACGAGCATATCAATAGAATCAACGCTTATTTATGATAAGTGGTACGATTACTTATAAATTTGGTAGGTTTTATTAGTCAGCTGAAAGGATGCCAGTAAATTGTGGAGGAGAATCTGAATAAATATAAACACTAGACCAAAGGATTTCAAAAAAATGAATATACCGATGAATGAAAAATTAATATAACGAGGCGCAGACCACGGAAGATTTATAGCAATTTCAGAAGTCGTGTGGAATGGAATAGCGAAAAATGTTCGCGTTCGGAAATTTTTTAGGAAAATAGGAGTTTATGTAAAGAAGACAAAAAAATCTTTCGTTATACCATTTATATTATTTATTTCAGGATTTTGGGTTAATTAGAGGGCTTATTGGGGAAAAAATGTTCATGAAAAAATGAACATTCACAACAATGGTCATAAAATTTTACATAAATTTGTAGTGTTTAACGTTTTTCTGTTAAAATTGTTTATTTAAAATCTAAATTAATTTAAACGATCCATTTAAGTTACCGAAAACTGAGCTATTTTAATTCCGATTTCTTTTATCTGTCTAAATGTTGACCTAGAATCCTAGAGCTATATATGAGAGCGAAACTTTATTAAAGTCCTAATTTCATTGACTGTATTAATTAAAGTAAAACATAGCTTGCTTCTATTGAATAATTTTTTAGCTTCTGTCATCTATTTCTTTTTAAAGTTTATATGGCTCCTTTAAATTCACTGGATTTTTTTATTAAAATTAACTTTGTATATAATAATCTTTATTACATCAGTGTCAAGTTTATGCAAATGTTCTATGGTGATTTTTTACCAGAATAAGCCCTCTTCCATATTTTAAATGCAGTTAAAATTAGCTAGGACCCTTCCTATATACCGTTCATCTGCATACTTCATTATCAACAAAATGAGCACAAACATTTCTGACGAAGAATGGAGAAAGAGGTTGCCCCCAGAAGTCTACCGTGTCGCTCGGGAGAAAGGAACTGAGCTGGTAAGTAGCTCTAATTTGCTTCACCTCTTAATTAATTAGCCACATTCTGGGAAATATAACATGCATTTCGAGGATGGTCAATATGAATGCGCTTGCTGTGGTTCCCTATTGTTTAAGTAAGTTATATCGCATTGTTTTTAATCTGAATCTATTTTAGTATGCGTATAACTTTTTATTGGGTATTTAATTATTACACGAATTCACACTGTTTGTAGGTCTGAAGACAAATTTAAGTGCGGCTGTGGTTGGCCAGCCTTTTCGCGTGCTGCCGGCGCATCCGAATTGGGGGACGACTCAAGAGCAAATATCGAAAAAATTGCAGACAACTCACTTGGAATGGAGCGTACTGAAGTTATCTGCAAAAACGTAAATACTTTTAACGTTATCACATTGCTCCTTTGACCCCTTGAGTTTGTTAGGCTCCATTTAGGTGCATCCCGTTACTTGCACATATAATAACACTATGTAATTTAAATTTTTATTATGATATTACATTTGTTTTTTTGTTCTCTTTTAGTGTAAGGCACACTTAGGTCACGTTTTTAATGACGGGCCTGCACCTACGCATACAAGATACTGTATCAACAGCGTTTCTCTCAACTTTGTACCTAAATGATTCATCGACATTTTTAAATACTTACTTATACTTTCAAACTTAAATAAACGCGTGATTATTTTGGCAGTCTTCGCTTTTTGTATCTAGTTTAGCCTTAATTCTATGCAAGATTGCGAAGAAATTCATCCCATCCATTGCGATAACTTCGTTTATTTTGTTGACTGATTTATTACAACCATATATATTTTGAGATAATTGATATTACGATGTAAGTCAATATGTATTGCGCAAAGAGAACTCAGTATGAGTTTCACAAACACCAGTGTGTGAATTAATTTTTACAATAGCAGAGAAAGCAAATGCTCTAAAGTGGATTTTTAACTATCTTTTATAGGAAATTATCCATTAAGTGCGCGAGTAACAATGGCATTGGAAAATCAGTTTTGTGTTCTACCTTTTCTGGAATCCCTATTGCGGTTTGTAAAAGTAACTTTGAATGTACTGATGATCTTTTACATGCAATTAACATATGAGTAATTATGACGTTTAGTAGTTGTATCAATAATGAAGATTAATCACCTCTTACTCTAAACCTGTATGCTGACTAAAAGGCAAATTTAAGAGAAAGTTAAGTGGCCGTTAGTGTTGAAGTATGAGGGTTTACTATTAAAATGCCAAGAAGGCCACAAGCAAATGAAAGCCATAATTCTCTAACCAGCGTTATGAAAAAATGTTCAGGCCATTGTAAAGTGAAAATGCTTAGTATATTCCAATGGCTGGGATAAATTTTATAAAATTAAAAGTGGAACTGATGGTATAGGGGAACATGAGTGAGCAGAAGGAAAAATTTTATGGGACATGTCAAGCGAAGGACTTATACTTGATAAAGCAGTAACTGACAACATGCAAGAGAGATCCACTTCGAGGTCAAATTATTATTAAAAGCCTAAACGAAAATTAAATAAAATTCATTATATGAAAGTTATGATGCTAATATAAAAGACAAATAAATCAATTTTAAATTTGATATTTCATATTGATAAAATGTGTCATTGTTATTTTTTAACCATTAATGAGAACTGGTCTAAAGGTCAAAGCTAAGAGTGTTTTAACTTATAGAATAACACCGCTAGTTTAGGTTTGCTTAGGCGAAAAGAATGTCTTCATCGCACACCAAGACAATTGGTAGAATTTTAGATCCTGTTGCTCAGCAAGTATGTGATTCAGCATTTTTCGCACGATGCATAGGTATCAAAACTAATTCTCTTATTCGAAGATGGTGGCACAGCAGGTGATACACCGGATCTCGCTAATCGTGTTTCAGTAGTGAAAATAGCTGTAGACAATCTAGTTAAAGTAAGGGAACCTATAAATTAATACTTTTAGGTTGGTTATGAAACCATTCGTCAGAGTTCAGATCAACTTTTAAAACGAGACATGCCACCTGCGCTTGTACGCGTTGAGGAAGCTTCAGTTTTTCTTCAAGACGCTGTCAAGCTGCTCTCTCGAGATCCATCTTCAGCAATTGGTCGCAAAAAGCTTATTGACGGTTCTCGGGGGATTCTTCAAGGAACATGGGCAGTACTGGTCACTTTCGACATGTCAGAAGTCAGAAAGATTGTTGCCTGCTGTAATTTAGTCCTTGATAAACTAAATACCGTTCAAGGCATCAAAAATTTTCCAGAACTCGCCGAATTTGTTAAAGTAATAAACCAAGCTTGCTTTAATTTTTCTTTTAGAATCTGACCCCAGTAATGGCTCAAATGATCAAAGAGGTTGATGAGAGGCAGGATGAATTAGTTATTAAATCTCACGCCGACATTCTCCAGAGAGGAATTACTCAAGTAAAACGCATCACCCCTATTCTTATTTCCTCAATCAAACTTTATCTCAACACCACCCAACAACGTATGCACTTTTATATCTTGTCCTTTGCCTATTCATTTCTGATTATCATTGTTTATGGATTATCAATTGCAGGTCTACCGGCTGCTAGGGAGGCTCAATCCAATAGGGATTACTTTTTACGCCAAATGTCAGATGAAATCTGTGAAATTATTCGAGGTCTTCAACTCACCAGTTCGGATGACACTGAGTATTTGGGAGACCATACTGACCTCCAGCTGTTAATTAGAAATTGCAAATTTGCTGATGAATGGTTCGCTAACCCTGGGGTAAGCAATTTAGCATTTTTAATCAATTTTGTTCATGTCTTTTAATTAAAGAAACATTTATTTTCCACCTCAGGCTAATCCCAATGGAGCTGACTTTATTCAGGATATTTTGGACACAGCTCGACACTATGAGGTTTTTTGCATGTCTGATTCTGAGAGAATGGGTCTAAATGGACTTATAGGTGGAATTGATTCTCGAGTCCAACAAATCCTCGATGCTCTTCAAAGGGTATTTATCTTTTTCATATTAAATGTCTATATGTTTAAAATCTATTTTTTGCATAAGTACCTTACCAATTGGAACAGTGTCATTAGATGCACGGGAGTCACATGGCTTGATTTTTCCCTAAAAGTTTGACCTGTTTACATAGCTTGATTGTGGATATTAAAACCAGTTAAAATGTTTGCGACAATAATATCTTACAAGTTAAATAAAACTGTCAAATAATTTTTTAAAAGCTATCTTCATTCTTTTTTAATACGTGGTCCAAGAGCAAACCTCTTAGTTTAGGCAATAACTTAAAGCAGATATAATGAAAATATTCTCCTTTGTAAATCCAGAAAAAGACTAAATTTAGGGCTTAATGTTAAGGGCTTCCGAAATTCATAAGTCTTGAAACGATTTTCCCTGATTTGTTTATCAGGTGACAATTTATTGTTCCTCTGAGGCATGGTCAATAGTGCTTTTCATCCTCATTGCTTTAATATTTGAAACGAATCTGTTATAAAAAACCCTCCTCTGATTCATAAATTTTCAACAGGAGTACATTTCTCCTTAAATCCGTTTTCACTTGATTTGATTTATTTTTTTTCGAACTTATCAGCCTATAAAATTTCCAAGAATAGATTTGTTTCTCATTATGTGCTTGTTTACCCTATTACCAGACTTAAGTGTGACTTGTTTCATAACTAAAAATTGTTTTATCTTGGGAAAAAAATCTATCATATTTTCTATCAAAAGTGCAATTTGGACACGAAGGTACACTATACTGCGAAAACCGAAATCGGGTGGGAGTGAAATTTGTGTATTTGATTTATCTTTGGCCTCTAGTCAATTAGGGCTTAGTTTTGAAGATTATTCTTGAATTACTATTTGCTTTCAAATGCTTTTTCACACTTTTATATTTACAAACCATTTCCAAAATGGTCATTACCAGATATGGAAATGCTTTCATTGCGATTAATATTTAAGTTTTACGAATCCATATAGTGTTTGCGTGTTTTCTTCACTCCATTAAAGTCTAAAAGCCATAATTGTATTCTTTTCTTTGTCAACAGTTCTTGTCCTCTCATTTTCGCATATCTAGGTAATTTTATGTATCTTCCTTCTATTTCTGGGTGAAGCAGACTGCTCGTTCCACTATTTGATGCCTTTCTTTTCTCATTCGATTGAAATTGATTTTTGAGTTATTATAAATGAAATCCCGAGTTTATTTAAAAACGAAAACAATTTATATACGTTACAATAGGCTTTCCCGTTGAAGTAAAAATTACGGATTTTATGCATGAATCAACGCTCACCCTATTTTATTGGATTACAATATTTTTTCTTTTAAACAAAATAATTATTGGACACGCGGGAGAATAATTTTATTTTACCTGTGAATTTTGATTAGCCCAGAGGGCATATTTTCAACTCCGAAAATTATCATGTTTAGCATTTGCTCTAGAAATATCATAATTCATGGTAATACAAACAAAAATATCCGTTTTATCTTGGGTAAATATCTGCACACAGGGAAGTGTAAGCCAGTCCAACCTGATTTAAGGGAGTGGGTGGAGATGTATAAACAAAAAGTCAGCATTTTCATTCGGTTTCAATTTGAGTTCAAGGCCTTTCCATCATGAATATAGTCTTCGATTACATGATAGTATGGTTAAACCTAATCTGAGGATTTGTATTCCGTTATCTGAATGGATGTTTTCCCACGGTGACCAGAGGTTACTGACCGGTTTATTATTTCAGAGATCTGGTCACCCAGATCTCTTATTTATTTGGGTTCTACTAATAGCCAAGATTCAGCATAAATGATATGAGTTAGCCAATCTGACAATAAAATTCTTTTGCCAAACGCTTTGGACGTGTCATTATAGAATAGCCTATTTTACTTTTAAATAAAGGCATTAAGAACTTGCATGTTTTTCCAAGTCGTGAAAATATTTAGAAAACTCATTGTGTTAAATGTGTGTGTGTGTGCTGGGTAATCGTATTTCGTGTGTTCGATACTTTGTGGTACAGTAATGCTAGGAGCTTTGCTTCTCTTAGACAATTGTGCAAATCAATGCAAAACACACACACAAAACAAAACAAATTTGTGTTATTTTAAGATGTTCCAAAAACTCATTTCTGATGTGCTTTCTTCTCTCCTTATACTTAAGTACAATATACAAAGTTAATTAAGAAATATCGCATAGTTTAATTGCTCCAGTGGTTTTTCATAAAATAGGATCACGAGAGGTGAGAGAGCATTAATTTAAAATTTGGAATTCGAATTGTGCAAACCATGGACTGACATTTGTTTGTTGACCATTTTCGGTATCTTTGCATCTATTTGATCATGTAGTTCTGTAGCGCCCTATCACTCCCTTTGCACTAAAAAATCGGTTGTAGGGTATGTAAATATGCAGAGATCTTAACGGTGAACTACTTTCTCTCACCCCTCCTACATTCCATTAGAGAGAGAGAGTATAGACCCATGAACCAGTAAGTTAAATTCAAGGACAAACACAAGGGTGCATTTACTTTGTGTCATCAAATTACCACTTGGCATTATTCGGTGGGGTTGTGGTATTAGAATTGACTAAGTTCCTCGTTTTTGTCCGAGCTAAAAGGGGGGGGGGTCTGCTTGCATGCTATTTAATGCATAAGGGGCGAATTAACACGGCGAACGACGAAAGCAATTGGTGAGACAGAGATCACGAAGATGTTCTACTCTCAAGTCAGTGAAGATAGGAGGGTCGAAAAACGGAAGGCCATCATATATAATAGTCTACGGTTCTGCCTCACTACATTGGAACAGTAACCTACGAAACCTGAATCTTTTAATTAACTAGATACCGGCAAATCATAGGAACAGCGGTTAACGAGTTAGTCTGCCCGATGAAAACCCAGTGAGCGGAATGGCCAAAGACATTGGTCATGATTGCCAGAAATCGGTTTTCTCACCAGGTAGATTCCATGGGCTTATTCCTCTAACTTTGATGAGTGTTTGTTTGAAAACGCTTTTCTAAGCGGACTTGAGAAGTGCTCATATTAATAAAATACAATAGTATATTGCCTTTTATTGCTGTCCTTGAACTATTTATCTGGGTGTGTGCCCTAACTGCACTCAAGAGGATTTTCCCATGGTACTTTAGTTTTCCTAATTCTACTTGAGCGCTTCTTCTTTATTGCGGTTATCTAGGTCGGATCATATGAGGTGATCTTGCCGTTGCTAAGGTCCAATCTAACCGCTTTTGCATTACCCCTAATATATGCAGACGGTTTTGCTGTTCGGATTCTCTCTAATAGTTGAAATTATATATACTTCAAAGAAATGTTTATCATTATGCCGCCTCTGATGATAATTGCTACCTTTGAAGCTTGAAGTTGGAGAGGGGGTATGGTAGTAGGTGTGTTTTCAGTTTTGTGGTTAAGGTGAATTATAGTGCTATACTGTCACTTTAAGTTTGTACCTAATAATCGAATTCGATAAATGCATTTAAGTATTTAGATGCGTTGGCTTGGAAATTTTAGAATTACTTCACTGAAATGAACTCGAGCAACCGTGGGCACTTACATAATCTTTTTTTCATTTGTGCTCATTGTAAAGCGCCACATTAGATTAGATCATTTTAAAATGTTGTTTTGTGGATTGTTGCATCAGATTTCAACTTTATACAATACAAAACTCATTGTTTAACCATCTTCTGTCGGTTTAACAGTCGATGCGATTTGGTGTTGTTGTTGTCTGTCAAATCGCCAAAGCTACAGAGCAGTTGACTCGTGTAAGCTAACAGTAACAAATCATCTTAGGTGTGCCTAATTACCTCAATTAATCAAATTGTATATCTTTTTAATATTCTGCACAATTCCATGAACAACTGATTAAATTGACCCGTCCTCCCCC